AAGAAGAAGAAGAAGAGATTAAGGAAGAACCATATGACGACAACGCGGACGAAGAAGAAGAAGAGATTAAGGAAGAACCATACGACGACAACGTGGACGAAGAAGAAGAAGAAGAAGAAGAAGAGATTAAGGAAGAACCATACGACGACAACGTGGACAAAGGAAGGGTCAGAGAAGCCGGCGAATTCCTCTTCGTTGGGGATCTTCAGGACCTCGGATGTGAAGGGAACAAAGAAGAAGAAGAAGAAGAGCTGAGGGATTTCGTCGAGGGTCGTAATTCCCCGTCGAGAGTGACCTTTCCGGTCGAGGAACTTGGGACGAAAAGCTCGTCCGAGGAAGAGGATCCGGCGGAGGGGAAGGGAAGAGAGAAGGAAGAAGGAAGAAGGGAAGAGAGGATAGGGGAAGCGGAGAGGAAATTCCAACGCCTTTTGTGCGAGGTCTGCGGCAAGACGTTCCATAATAAGGCGTACATAAGGATTCACATGAGAGTCCATACTAAAGAGAAGCCCTACAGCTGCGTGTTCTGTAGCAAGGCTTTCTCGAGCAAGAAGGGCCAGGCGAGGCACGAGAGGGTCCATACCAAGGAGAAGCCTTACACGTGCGAGATCTGCGGCCGAGCGTTCTCGCAGAAGAACAGCCTCGTCAAGCACACCAGAGTCCATACGAAAGAGAAGCCCTATCCATGCGAGATCTGCGGCCGAGCCTTCTCGGATAAATTCAATTTACGGCAGCACAGGAGGGTACATACAAGAGAGAAGCCGTACGTGTGCGAGATATGCCACAAGGCCTTCTCACAGAACAGCGTCAGGGTGATGCACATGAGGGTACATACGAGAGAGAAGCCCTATAGCTGTGAGGTCTGCGCCAGGGCCTTCTCGCAGAACAGCTCCCTGGTCCAGCACATGAGAGTACATACGAAAGAGAAGCCCTTCAACTGCGAGATCTGTGGCAAGTCCTTCACCGTGAAATGCAGTCTAGTCAAGCACATGAGGGTACATACCAAGGAAAAGCCCTACAGTTGCGAGATGTGCAGCATGGCCTTCTCGCAGAAGAACAGCTTAGTGAAGCACATCAGAGTCCATACTAAGGAGAAGCCATTTAGCTGTGACATCTGCAGCAGAGCATTTTCCGACAAATTCAATTTAGGGCAACACATAAGAGTCCATACGAGAGAGAAGCCGTACGTCTGCGAAGTTTGCAACAAGGCATTTGCACAAAATAGGTCCCGAATGATACACATGCGGCTACATACAAAGGAAAGGCCTTACGTCTGCGAAGTTTGCAACAAGGTATTCACTTGGCAGAGTAATTTCATAACGCACATGAGAGTCCATGCCAAGAAGCCCAATACCCCGTGAGGTTGAAATTATCAGGTGCTAAATGATAAGTAATATAATTTTTGGATAATTAAATTAATATTAATCTCTCTCTCTCTCTCCCTCTCCCTCTCCCTCTCTCTCTCTCTCTCTCTCTCTCTCTCTCTCTCTCTCTCTCTCTCTCTCTCTCTCCTCTCTCTCTCTCTCTCTCTCTCTCTCTCTCTTACTCTCTCTCTCTCTTACACTCTCTCTCTCTTACTCTCTCTCTCTCTTACTCTCTCTCTCTCACTCTCACTCTCTCTCTCTCTCTCTCTCTCTCTCTCTCTCTCTCTCTCTCTCTCTCTCTCTCTCTCTCTCTCTTACTCTCTCTCTCTCTCTCTCTCTCTCTCTCTCTCTCTCTCTCTCTCTCTCTCTCTCTCTTACTCTCTCTCTCTCTCTCTCTCTCTCTCTCTCTCTCTCTCTTACTCTCTCTCTCTCTCTCTCTCTCTCTCTCTCTCTCTCTCTCTCTCTCTCTCTCTCTCTCTCTCTCTCTCTCTCTCTCTCTCTCCCCCTCTCTCTCTCTCTCTCTCTCTCCCCTCTCTCTCTCTCTCTCTCTCTCCCCTTCTCTCTCTCTCTCTCTCTCTCTCTCTCTCTCTCTCTTACTCTCTCTCTCTCTCTCTCTCTCCCTCTCCCTCCCTCCCTCTCCCTCCCTCTCTCTCCCTCCCTCTCTCTCCCTCTCTCTCTCTCTCTCTCTCTCTCTCTCTCTCTCTCTCTCTCTCTCTCTCTCTCTCTCTCTCTCTCTCTCTCTCTCCCTCTCTCTCTTTCTCTCTCCCTCTCTCTCTCTCTCTCTCTCTCTCTCTCTCTCTCTCCTCTCTCTCTCTCTCTCTCTCTCTCTCTCTCTCTCTCTCTCTCTCTCTCTCTCTCTCTCTCTCTCTCTCTCTCTCTCTCTCTCTCTCCCTCTCTCTTCTCTCTCCCTCTCTCTCTTCTCTCTCTCTCTCTCTCTCTCTCTCCCTCTCCCTCTCTCTCTCTCTCTCTCTCTCTCTCTCTCTCTCTCTCTCTCTCTCTCTCTCTCTCTCTCTCTCTCTCTCTCTCTCTCTCCCTCTCTCTCCCTCTCTCTCCCTCCCTCTCTCTCTCCCCCTCTCTTCCTCTCTCTCTCCCTCTCTCTATCTCTCTCTCTTACTCTCTCTCTCTCTCTCTCTCTCTTA